GCAACGTGTACAAATGCTGATCTACTAAAACCTCATCATTCATCAGCCATCCCCTCCAGGAGAAAAAACAAACTTCAACTAACTACTTCTGCATAGAAGTACTGTATACTGTACTATGGAGATGATTTATGAATGCCCTGATGTCCTGGCCTTTCTAGACCTATTAGGCATGTCTTATGTAGCTTTCCCTTAGGAGAGTGCTTCAGACGCCCTGTTGTTGTTGAGATAGTTAATAAACAATTCATTATGCTTTTACGTTAGTGCTTTCATTGTATTTCTATTACTGAAGTAACCTTTAAAGACCGTGAAGGGATTAACTATAATGTATTTTCTGTAGAATGAACAATTATATTATTAACTTATTATTAAAATTATAAAGAAAAATAAATGATCTTTCCCACCTCTCTTACGCAGTAGATTTTAGCCTTTGGAAGAAGCACAGTTTGAGTGATATTTCTTCCCCTCATATTTAGAATGCATCAGTTGTTTACTGTGTAGGAATGATTTTCCTCCAATTTTGTGGGGGGAAAAAAAGAGTTCAAGAATAATCAATTTTTTTTATATACTCCCAACCTTTTTCTGAGAAAATAAACACTATAAAATGCATTATCAGCATAAAGAAAAACATAAGCATTAGTTTAATCATGGAGACTATCACCATCCCAATGATAATGATAAAGATTACTTCATATACAGTACACTATATTCTAATTCACAATAAAAATAATAGAAATCCAACAATATTACATTAACAGATATGAAACAGAGGTAATCCAATATAAAATTACCCATTTCCTTAAATTCTGTGTTCACGTTTTGTGATTTAATAAAAATGCCAGTAGCTACATTTAAGGTATTTTAGTTAATTTCCTGACTCTGAATAAATATCTATTTTAAAATGTATTATTTTAACTAATATGAACTGAGAAAGATGCCACCAAGTCCCAGATGAGTAATGAGGATTTTGTAGTTGCCATTAGCATGACTGAAGGCATCCTGCCTGAGAGGGAAGAAGTCTGGAGAATGAGATGTTCCATTTCAACAGCCAGCAGCCTTCTCCAGAGATAACAGGAAACCAGCTCTTTGAGGTCACTTCCTAGAAGGCAGAATCTCACCACATCGGCTTAGGACTGTCAGGCACATCCATATGTCCTTCTACATACTAATTTTCATACTGCAGTGAAGAAAGAATTAACCACCTCCTCAGCAGAATGACTGTAGCTTGTCTTTCTTCATGAAATTGATTTGCACACTTGGAGGTTGTTCAAGAGTAGCAGTTGACAGCAGGGAGACAACATCACTGTCTTCTGTGGACCACAGAACATCTGCAGTGGTGGCAAAGATTTGTGGATTAATTCACCATTGAGTGTTTTGCTCTTTACAGACCTGAAATGAGACAATGTGTGTGAAGACATTGTGGCGAGCATTATGCCAAACACTTTCAAAGTCAACAAATGCAGGTGCAAAAGTGCGATGATGATGTAAGAAGGAATCTGCTTAAATATAAGAATGTCTGTGGACCAATTTTTATGACAATACTGCTTCTCAACAATATATTGATAAGGTTATTGAGACAATAGTATTTCCATTCCTATTAGTCAATATGTATTGAATATTGATTTCTAGTATGACAATAAAATTAATATTACAATGAAATGACTTTAATAAAACAATGCAAAGGTCAAGGATGCAGAAACAATGCAGGATTTATGGGTCGAGCCTGCTAATGCCATCAGCAGTTGACAATCATGACTGGCCAGCCTTTGCCAACAAGCTAAAGCTATGGCAGAGCTTCCCACAGCAGTCTTTCCAAGACTGATCAGGTTTGTGTGTCAACTCAGGCAGGATTGTGGTAATGTTGACAGAGATCATACCTGATACCCCTTTAGAATGGTACAGTATCTTTCACACAGAGTATCATGTTTCATAGTGATTCTTGGATCTGTGATATTGTTTGATATCTGGTTTAGTTGTTTAAAATATCCATTCAACATAAGTGTTGTGTTTCTTTTGTGGAATATATAGTATATAATGAAATGAAAGAAATTTCACTACTGTAAAAAAGGCTTGACCCTTTCCACTCTCAGATTCAATTTTCTTACTGTCAGGTGCAAACTAGAAAGCCATTTATTCCCCCTGTTGAATGTATTAATATTTTATATGTGCTGTTTCCCACCAGTGCCCAGTAATATAGTATAATCATTACTGGAACAAAGTCTTCTGGTACAGAATCTCAAAAAAGATTTGTGCATCAAAATGCAATCAACAAAGTGCCCTTTCACATTAGAATACCCATTGTTACCTGGGTAAAGGATAATGACACTTCCCGAATGGCAAACGGAGTTAATAAAATGCATATTTAATCAGCTTGTACATTTCTAAGAACAAACAGCCGCTTGCCCAAGTCGGAAATGCAATGAGAGAAACAGCCTATCGTATTGTTTCCACCTTCTATTCAGTTTTCTTCTTCAGGAGTTAAAAATAGGAATCTCTTTAGCATATCAAAGACAGCAGCTTGAAAAAGAAAAGAAAAAAGCACTCAATGCTTGACTTCCAAGAGCGAATAATGTCACTCTACTAAACATACTATGTACGCCAGCATCCCAGAAACCTAGGTGCATACAGGTAATTATTAGAAAAGAAGTAACTTAATGCAAACTTAAAGAAAAAAAAAGAAACATTGAACTCCCTGGAGATATCTTTGTACCCTTTTCACTGTTAAAAACTTTAAATTTTCCTGTATAAGAGTGCTGTACATGCTAGTGTAAAATATCAAAGATGGGACAAAATGTTCCTATTAGGTACAGTTGCCACAGTGCTTCTATAGTGGATGTACTAGAAAACAGGAGAGGGAGTTTAGACATACTGCTTTACTGCTGATAGCCAATGGGTGGAAATAACATTAAAAATGTAGTTTTTACCGGCTTCCAAATGTTATATTATTTTGTCCTTTTTAGGCAGTAGCTGCAATAACAAATAAATATATATATATAAATGGGATCTGCATGTCATTTAGTTTGTTTTCATCCTACGAGATCCTTCAAAAACACATATTTTGGAGATGAATGAAGAAATACTTTCAGACATAACTACTGACTGAAGTTCTGAAGGCACATTACACAAAACATCTCATGAGTTTCCCAGGACTACAGTATGTGCAATAAACAGTAAGTACAACAGCATCAATGTTTTACATATAGTATGTCACAACATGGTATTGCTTTACATGTTGTTTTTTTTTTTTTTATTTTGAACCAGGAGCAAGGAGGAATTGATCTAGTTAAACAAACTTAACCCAGTTCTCAGTTCAGAGCTCAGAAAGGAAGAAAATCAAATTGAAATGGAGTGTGTAACTCATGTGTTTGTTTTCATTACATACTGTGTGGAAATGCAGTGTATTCTTGTACTAACATCTAACCAGAAAAGTCTTGATGTGTTTCATACTGTAGATTATCATGCAGCCAGGGAATAAACAAATGAAATGGCATTGACCTATTGCAGCATGTCCCATCAAATACTTTCTTACAGAAATCAGATCCCAAAACACCCCATGTAACATGTAACACTCCCTTGAAACTCAGAAAGTAACTACAGTATTCATTGGAACATAAGCATATTCAAAAGAAATTTATCTGGGTATCAGCCCCCAAAACAATAAGCCATGCTACTGTACTCCAGGCCTTTGAATCTTAATGAATGTGCTGGTTTGCATTTTCAAATTACTATTTTTTCTTAAATGGAGATCTTTAACAAATATGAAAACAACAACATCGAGAGCTATGCTGCATGCTGAATGAGGTATAAGGAGTAAGGGAAGAGGATTTAAGAAGCAGGAGTAAGCACTAAGATACAGTAGAATTCACAGATGCTAAAGGTCATTAGCTGTTTTCTTCTGGAATCTAAATATTTCTGATGAATGGCGTGTCCCAACAAAGTACAAACATGAATGCAAAATAAAGGTAATGAAGAAAAATAAATTATGATTCTGTTAAGTTAGAGAAAAGAGTGGGGCGGGACTAAAATGGTATGTCCACACCTGAAGCTGCTCCATTAAAAACGAATCATTCATTTATTCTTTCAGTAATTTGTTTTGGTGGGTATAGTGACATGGCTGGAATTTGATTTTATGGTGTTTGCAGGGTTGTGGTACAAATGTAGTACAAAAGTGATTTTTTTCTCAAGCAGACAATGATAACCTTCTGCACACCGGATCGGCAATGAATAAAGCCCCTGTCCACCCCCAGTAGCACTGTGCTTAATCATTCAGATGTTGTCATTAATGAATTTTAAGTGTTTTGAAGAAAGCAATACGGGTGCTTACAGTATAATAATGAATCAAAAACCTTAATATATTGTTTCGACTTGTTCCTCCAATTTTATAAAATATATATATATTTGTGCCAGAAGAGGGTGCCCTCTAAGAATTTTGTTTTCCATCACAGCTAAAAAACTTTGTCTTTAAATGTGTGAATGCACAATAATGGTGGATATTAAGATTACAGATTTAAATGAAAAAGTTTCTCACGTGTAGACCTGTTTTTAATCATCTTTCCATTTTTATCTATTTAATAGCAACACTATACCTGTTCCTGAGAAATGAAGAGGCTTCTTTTGCAGCCAACAGGAGGATACAGTTCTTATAGTGCGCAGTTTTCTGGCGCCCCTTAGCACAGAGTGTGAATAGAATGGGTCAGCTCTGCCAGTGCACTCTCTCACCTTTAATTAACCCAATTACACAGTCGTGTAGCACTGAGCACCTGTTGGGCAATGTTTCAGAATCTTCTGTATGTTTCTGATCCGCAGATTACAAGAACTACATGATGTACACTACATCACTTCATAAGCAAAAATAAGAAACGAGTGTGGCTCCTCCAAGAGCTTGCAGATGTGGAAAGGAAGGTACAGACCATGTCTTTTCTTCACTTAACACAAAACTGTACGTTGAACTGGAGATCCTTATTTAAAAACGCCGTGCTTACTTAAAATTCATCTCACGTTCTCAGCCGTTCAAAACACTCTAAGCATATGCAGCAGAAACCCAGTGCCCGACCCTCCCAGAGTTGTCAGGTAAGAAGATTTCTCTGTAAGATCACCGGGTGGTGATTACGCGTCAGGTTACGGAACGAAAAAAGATAATGATGCACAACGGTATCGATAGATTAGTGCATAACATTGGGAAACATACATAAAACACAACGTTAGCTGCTGCAATTATATTGTATCCCCCCTCTGTTCTGCTGCAACGATTTATTTCTTTTTATGCTGTTTTTTTTTAGTTTGGTTTTCCCTCCCCTAAGCGGTGTTGGAAGCTCAATGCAGATGCAACTTCAAGCACCTGCAGACACAGGTAGGGGGAGTCGAAATTACCGAGCACACTCCCTCGACTCAGAGGAGCCTGATCCTTGATAATGCTATACTGATTGTTTTGTTTCAATACAGTTTCTAGATAGATTTCTTTGGAGGATGAAGAGGGGTATCTGTAGCTTAGGTACTTGTCCGCATCTGACTTAGCTGAATTATTCATTTTCCGCGTCGGTTCAGTCGCCTACCTCCCTTTTCTGAATATCGGAGCACGTAGGGTTTTTGTGAGTGTTTGTGTGACTGTGTGTGCGCAGAGGAACCGAGCTCAGACAGCGTACTGACAATCCTGCAAATTGCAGAGCGCACAGGACCCGCTTGGCAAGCAGTATCAGCGTAGCATAGAGGTGAGTAACCACAAGCAGGCTTGTTTCGGTGCATAATTAGGCTCTCTGGCTTTCTGTTTTTTCAGCAACAATCCGATTTTAGGTACTTCAGTGTCTGGCCGCGTACACTATTAATGATACCATCCTTTATCTTTTAGTGAAGAAGGCTGGAGTTGTACAGCCTCGCCTCCTTCCTTACTGTCGTGTTGTCGGAATAGAAGCATTTTTCCGTATTAGAAACTTAATGGCTTCATGGGGATAGATTGCGTGGGAACTCGAGAAATGAGTTCTTTCCAAGAAAAGTAGAATCTGCCTCGAAGAGTCTGCTATTGAACTGGTACCGCTCTGTCCAGTTTTCTGTGGGAATACTGTTCTCCGCTATGCGCTGTCAGTACCAGGAATCATTTTGAAGGAAAGAATTTTCTTTTACTTCGGGTAAGTTATCAGTTATTTGTATTTCAAATTGCGCTGATATTTTTAAAAATGATGATGATGTATTTTAATTATTTCTGTAATGGATTTTGGTGGATGAACGAGTTCAGAACCTGCTTGCGGCAGACAGGCTTCGAATGAATTGTTTCGAGAAAACACTTCCTTAAAATGAAGAGCCTTTAGGTGTAATCGTTTTTTTTATTAAAATATAATAAATTCTAAGGGCAGAAAGAATATGGTGTCATAAGCAGGTTTGTTACCTACTGCATCAGCATGCAGTGATAGTTGGGGGGGAAATAGTTTTCTTTGTTAAATCTGCTCTAGAAAATGTGAGTTATGTATAGTGTACTGCATATTTCACAAAATATTTTTATTTAGCTTCTTATACAGTATATAGGTATAAAAACACTGAGCAAAAAAAAAATCCTAAAGCTTCCTGGAACCAAAATTTATCTCAAGTATGTTTGACAGGTTTGTTGCAACTGAAATTCTCTTTTGCTGTATTTAGGTATGGACGGTAATAACGCGTTGGTTTTGATTGATTGTTTCTTTTTTTTCCTCGAAGGTTATTAAATGGTTTTCTGGAGGATTTAAAAAAAATGCTGCTGCTTGTTTTGTTGGCTTTTTCCGTCCCCAGTTCGTCTCCAAACTCGGATTCTGACCTCTCCGCGGAGACCTGCAGCATTTGCTCTTGCATGTCCATGGAAAACGTCCTCTATGTGAACTGTGAGAAGATTACCGTGTACAGACCTACACAGCTGAAACCCCCGTCCTCCAGTCTCTATCATCTAAATTTCCAGAATAATTTACTGATAATCCTGTACCCGAATTCCTTTCTCAATTTCACTCACGCAGTCTCACTCCAGCTCGGGAACAACAAACTGCAGAACATTGAGGGAGGGGCGTTTATGGGACTCAGCGCATTAAAACAGTTGCACTTAAATAACAATGAATTAAAGATGCTTCGTGCTGACACTTTCTTAGGCATTGAGAACTTGGAATATCTCCAAGCTGACTACAATTTAATCAAGTTTATTGAACGGGGAGCCTTCAATAAGTTGCACAAGCTAAAAGTGCTTATCCTTAATGACAATCTCATACAAAGCCTTCCTGACAACATTTTTCGTTTTGCCTCTCTAACCCATTTGGATATAAGAGGGAACAGGATACAGAAGCTCCCTTACATTGGTGTTTTGGAGCACATTGGAAGAATAGTGGAATTGCAGCTGGAGGATAATCCATGGAATTGCACCTGTGATTTGCTACCCCTGAAAGCGTGGCTGGAAAACATGCCCTATAATATTTATATTGGCGAGGCGATTTGCGAGACCCCCAGTGACTTGTATGGAAGGTTGTTGAAAGAGGCCAGTAAACAAGAGCTGTGTCCAATGGGCATAGGCAGCGACTTTGATATTCAGATGCCACCCTTGCCTCCAGAAAATGGGCAGACAACATCTAATGTTGCACCGACTACAATACAGCACCTCATTACCAAAGCACCCAAAACAACCAATCCTTCAAAAATATCGGGAATCATTGCTGGAAAGGCATTCCCTGGCAACCGGAATCTCACCCAAACTGTGTCCTATCAGACAAGAGTGCCCCCATTCTCCCCCTGCCCGCACCCCTGTAACTGCAAAGCTCACCCTTCAGATTTCGGCATCAGCGTTAGCTGCCAGGAGAGGAACATTAAAAACTTAGCAGAACTTGTACCCAAGCCTGAAAATGCCAAGAAGCTTCACCTCAGTGGTAACAACATCAGAGATATCAGTCTGTCTGATTTTCAAGGATTTGAAGGTTTGGATCTGCTACATTTGGGCAGCAATCAAATTGTGACGGTTCAGAAGGGAGTATTTGCTAATTTGACCAATCTTCGTAGGCTTTATCTAAATGGCAATCAGATTGAAAGGCTTTATCCTGAAATGTTTCACGGGCTCACTAACCTCCAGTACTTGTATTTGGAATATAATGCCATAAAGGAGGTATTAGCTGGAACATTTGACTCCATGCCAAATCTGCAGCTTTTGTATCTGAACAATAATGTGTTGAGAAGCCTTCCAGCATATATCTTTGCTGGTGTTACCCTTGCCAGGCTGAATCTGAAGAACAATCACTTCATGTATCTGCCTGTGAGTGGCGTTCTAGACCAGCTCACATCCCTCAGTCAGATAGACTTAGAAGGCAATCCCTGGGATTGCACATGTGACTTAGTGGCTTTAAAACTGTGGCTTGAGAAGTTGAATGATGGCGTTGCCAGCAAGGAGATAAAATGCACTTCCCCTGTCCAGTTTTCTAACGTTGAGCTTAAGAAGATTACAAATGAAATGTTATGCCCAAAACTTTTAATGAAGCCGCCTTTCATTCTGACCAGCTCTACGCCTGTTATCACATCAACATCTCCAGCTGGACTGGGTAAGGCACCTCCAGGTGGACCTGTGCCCTTGTCAATTATGATTCTGAGCATTTTAGTTGTGCTGATTTTAACTGTGTTTGTTGCATTTTGCCTCCTTGTCTTTGTCCTGAGACGTAACAAAAAGCCAGCAGGGAGGCATGAAGGATTAGGGAACCAGGAATGCAGTTCAATGCAGCTTCATCTTAGAAAGCACGATCACAAGTCCAATAAGAAAGACGACCTGGGTGGAGAAACCTTCATACCGCAAACCATAGAACACATGAGCAAAAGCCACACATGTGGCTTAAAGGATTCTGAGTCAGGTTTAAAATTTGGTGACTGTCCCATGCAGAAAATAATCCTGAGGAATAGCGGTGAAAAGGACAAAGATTCATTGTCTCGAGACCCAAGAAAGAGACTAAGCACTATTGATGAACTGGATGAATTTTTACCAGGAAGAGAATCTAACATGTTTATCCAGAACTTTTTAGAAAACAAAAAGGATTTCAACAGTATAGGTGTCAGTGGGTTTGAAATTCGCTACCCTGAAAAACCACAGGACAAAAAAATGAAAAAATCCTTAATAGGAGGCAATCACAGCAAGATAGTGGTGGAACAGCGGAAAAGTGAATATTATGAACTCAAAGCCAGGCTTCAAGGTTCTCCAGATTACCTTCAAGTGCTAGAGGAACAGACAGCTCTGAATAAAATGTAGGCCGCCCAAATCCTTCAGTGTGTTTCCTTATGACAAAAGTGCCTTTTGATGACTTTAAACTTCCAGAAATTTGCAGTGATAGTTGGACAACTGGACAAGTGATCCCAGGGACGACTAGACATACAGTCACATCATTTGCTTAGATGCAGTGGCTGTTTTGCAAATAAAACCTTTTATTTGATTATCATTTCCAATGAGACAGTGCAGTTCGTACACAGTATGCTTTCATTTCTCTTTGAACTTTATAAATCATCCCTAAGAAACTGCATAGTAATTTGCTGCTATTGAAATCAGTACTTTGAATTTTGATACATTTACCAAAATTGTTAGGTCTGGAAACAATTGGTGATTGTACCTCTTGCCAACTCTGTTGCACTGGGCTTTGCTTTGGGTCAGAGTTAGTGGCTGGAAGTTTGAATAATCAGGCCAGACCAAACCTAGAGAGTGAGACACTGGCCTGGAAAGCCAACAAACAGGAGAGGACCTGCAGACATCGTAAGTCACACTTTGTCTATATTGCAAAACTTAGAAAACATTTTGCCACTGCTGGAGGGGTTTTAAGATATATATTCATTAACAATGAGGCATGTAAAACACAAACCACCAGTAGGATATTTTAATTTAAATATATCGGTTTATGTGTATGTAAAGAACCCAGTTAATATTCTGTTTAACTCGGTGGTTCTCCTCTAAAGTTTTGGGCATTACCAATGCCAGGAGGTTTTAAAAAAAGCCCCCTCCCCCCAAAATAAAAAAACAGCTGCTTGCCATGTAAGCGTACCTGGATTTTATTTTGTAAACATTCTTTGTATCTGTGGAACAGTTTGTAAAAAAAAGTCTAAAAGGAAAAAAAATGGTGCCAGAAATGATGATGGTCAGTCTATATTGCATTTATCTTCATATTTAATTTATTTTTCTACACAGGGTTCTTTGACACTCCCTGGTACTATTTAAAAACAACAATAGACTTACTGTAGGTGTTAGGAAATTTCAAAGGAAAGTGGTGGGGAACCAAACCCTTTGACACTTGACTTTGTTGCTAGAAGAGGAGAGAGTAAGTTGGGTTTTTGTGGTTCAATGTATTTTTTTGAAGAGACGGGTAAAGTGTTCTTTGTAAAAGTGATGTAAGGGCATTTTCACTATGATATTGCACGAGCTGAAGTTTGATGGTATATAAATCTTTAACAGTTTGCTTATCACTTGTATTCCAGATTAATTTGTGAAATTTCTGAATAATGATATGCAACCAAAATAAATTAGCATTACTGTGATGACATTCTGGATATAGTGTGACTGTTGCGACAAAAAATGTAAATCATGGATTATCAGAAGGCAACAATCATGGTTCAGAAAATGTTTTAATGTCAGGAGGTTCTGTGAAATACTTTGTTTTTAAATAGCTGCAGGCACATTCACACGACGTGCAATATTTATATACTCAATTAATAAAAGGTCATTTACTTAAATATATTTTTTGTTTAAGATAAAATTGTGGAGGCAACATCTGTGTTCTGTGGACATTTTTCTCCACATATTTTGTGAAAAGTCCATATTCAAAAATACTAATACTTAAGTTAAAGAAATCTATGAAGTTATCAATATTTTTATTTAAAACAAGTGAATAGAATGTACCACAAATGGTATAATAAAATGTTTTTCCTCTAAAAGTCAGATGAGTACTGTATATTGATTAGTTGCAGTTTAATTGTATCAACCTGTTGAAGTCAAAGTATAAATATTGACCACCTATGTTGCACTGCTTTTTTTTAGTCTCAATACTGTACGTAACTGTTACATTTGCTTTCAGAAAATAAAGGCCCCAACTGTTCTTTTAGCAAATGTGAAACACTATATTTTGCACATTGGCTTCGTGATAATATTGTATTTTCTATTTATTTATATATTTATTTATAGAGGTGTGCACACAGTATTGATGTCCTTTAGATTTCCTTCCCTTTTAAAACATTGTTTTGGTTGAATTTTTACTAATGTTTCTATTTGTGATATCATTTTATATCAAAAGGCTATTTTAGTGTTTTTCTGAATTTGAATTTCCAGAACATCAAGAATTATTTGATCATTGCATCTGCTTTGTTACAAAAAGCCATACCAGGACTTACACAATGAATATGAATGACAAACATAGTGGTTCTCAGGCGAAGACAGTGTGGCGCAGATTCCTTGCTGTTATAAATAACCTTAATGTGCATGTTTTGCTGTTTGATAATGCATTAAATAAGCACAGTGAGATTTTTTTTTCTTTTTCTGTTGCATCCAAAGAGATGGAGATATGTAAAACCAGAATGTATTTGCAAAACTTTTAACTCTATTTTGACATAAATTCAGTCAATAAATTGTATTGTTTATACATTACAGGAAGTAGCAATGTTGTTTTAACGTTATGGTATAAAAACAAAAAAAATGTTTATGTGATTGTTTTTATGCTATTTGTCTTGTGATTTTTCAGTTGTGGCACATGGTTAGAGCTGAGCTCTACTTCAATGAGGCTATTTCAATTATTAGTATTATCATCAAACCTATATGCATTAAGGTATATTTATTTTTGCTTCATGCCTGAGGATTTGTTGAGCTTTGTAGAACACTCAAAAGTATGATATAATTTTTTCAAGTTCCAATTTTTGATTTATTGAATTGGAAGTTGAACCTAGCTAAGGTAATGTATTAAACACAGTGAGCTCTAGCTCTTTATAAAGCTTTCATGCATGTTGGTTTTTATACTTCCATCTGAAATGTCAAAATACTAATGCAAAACCTTTTAAACAGTTTTTTGAGAAGTTCCAAATGAAAGTTCCATGACTTTAAGCACAAGATGGAAATTTCCACCCTTTACTGTAGCAGTGAAGGCCGTTTAGAAAAACATTGAACTGTTTTGTAAACTTGAGTAAAGGTTCCGTTACTATAAACTATAATGTGCTAAAGAGCAAGAATGAAGATTGTTTTATGGAACAAAAAAAATAGAATTTTCAAGCATACAATGTAGTAAATAAAACTTTTAGGTTTTGGAAATTTTATTACTTTGAGATAGTCCAGTTTAGATTTGAATATTCACAGCTCTTTTCAATCACTGTACAGGATATTTTACAACTCTTAATTCTCTTTAGAGGACTATACAGTCTGTGGCATATACACTTTACTGAATCCTGTTTATCAGTTTTGTTCAAAGCTGGATAAGCAAATTATGGGAGTGTCAGTCTTAATCCGAATCCATGGCAAGATGCATTCAGTTAAGTACACAATAATGAGCCTGTTTACGCAGGGTTTGAATGCCAGTCCTTTAAGATTGCTTTCCACTACAAGCAAGACAGGTTTTCACAGTAAGCTGCTACCGTGGCCAGATTGATATTTAATTGAATGTAGGATAATCCTTATGCATGTTTTGGCCTCTTAGAATTTCCGTTATTTGTATTTTCAGGCTTACTCGGCTGCACAGCATAGAAGGACAGAACTATTTAGTTACCTTTTTAAGCTGCAACTGAGCTGAAACAAATCAATTCGCAAAATATAAGCTTACAACAAACAGTATGTGTGCAGCATTTGGGTTGATTGGTGTTGTCTGAAGAGCCATCAAAGGTGCATTCCAATTCTGTTCACACTTGGTTTTAATACCTTTTGTGCCTTTTCATTGCTTTAATTACAGAAATACTACATTGATGTATTACTTCATTATAAAGCGATAATATAATAGAAATCTCCTAGGATAAAATGCTTAATTAATTTCCTTTCTCATTAATGTACTAAAAGTTTTTAATAGTGGAGAAGTGATTTGAAAATGTGAGAACCTGAGAGAGGTAGTGATGGCAAAGGGTGCTTTAGCATATGATAAGTGAAAGTCTTTCTGGCACCAGGGAGGTCTTTTAAAGGCTTTCTGTGCAGGGTTAGAGCTACCGGGATGACTTGGAGACCCAGTTTCTAAGAACAAATCATCATTTAAGAATCTCTTTGTCTCACCAAGAGCAGCTGTCCTAGATCACAAGTCTGTCTTCAGTCTGTTTTTAGTTAGATGAGTCACTGTTGAGTGCTGAAAAGCCAAGCCCTTTTCATGAAACTATTACATTGCCAATTATGAACATGTAATTTAATGTAATAATTTAATAGAATTTCATTAACCATTTTTTATTTCTGTTTTACCGTTTACTTCTAAAGACAGCTATTCACACAGGTGCACTGCTGAATAAGTTCGAGGAATACATTTATAACACTTAATAGGATTATGACATTTATTTATGGTCCTGCTTTTTAAAGCTCTTCTATACTCAGAAAAAGTAACATTGATGTTTCAACATTTTTAAAAATTAAAAATGTATATTTGAAAAGAGACCAAAAGGAGAGAGAGGCATTTACAGCCATACTAATGTATTTAATCGGTAACGAAGGAATAATATTAGCCTCTGAATGTACTCATTCATACAGCTTTCAATACTTGAAATGGTAAAGTGCTATACAGCCTCCCTTGTGGCAATACTATGTATTGTGATAGTATCCTTAATCGATTGTATTGTGTTTAAGTTGTTTAAATAAAAGAATTTTGAAAATGAATAAACAATTTAATTTCCCTAAGTATGAGCTTTCTGTGGTTCCCAGTGTGTACAGTGCAATGGAATTGTTTGGTTTCTTTCCAAGAGCAAGATTGGTATTCCCATCTGTCTGTCTAAAGAACCTACTTTGGAAAACTTCATTTATTTTAAATGTAGTGCAGGTTAAAATGTAGCTGGTTTTACATGTAGTTGCCTAAATCCTGGTAGCAATGCAAACATTGAAAGATGATTTGTCATTAACAATTTCAACATTTTGGATCTGTACCTTTGAAAAAGTTCAGACATAGCCGTTTAAGGTTTATAATGGTAAACATTCTTCTATCTTTCTGTTTTTTTGTTAATTTCGTGTTTATTTATTGATTGTTCTGCAAATTGACAATGTAGACAGTGAAAATGTCCGCCTCTAAAAACAAATAAGCTGCTAATATCACTGTGCAAACACACATGTGCATAAGAACTGTGCTTGGCTTCCTATACAGTAGTCTTTGCTTATAAGTAAGACTTATTTTTCAGGAAATGTAGGCCAATATTAAACTAAAATGAAATGTAGCCTCTAGTCACCTAGTGCACACCTAGTTTTTGGTGAGAAGTATCTGTTGTATAGAAGCATTTAGCCCCAGGCAATCAAACAATCACAGCAAAGAGCAGGGTTTGTCATTTGCTGTTTCCAGACCGGCCAAAGCTTTGATCTGGTCTAGGATGAATTTTAGTTGCCTGTGGTATTTGATACAGATACAAAAGACATCTCTGTAAGGGGCTTCTCTGTTTGAGCGTCAGATAAAATAGTTAAGTACGTGTCAGGTACAGTAGTTTTGAGTACATGTGAAGAGATGGAGTTATACTGTATGTACAGTAGGTGGTTATAGAGTACAGAGTACAATCACAAGGAAGGCCTTGTTTGTTTAATCAAGCATAAATTATAGGGAGCATTAGCAGCTTGTTTTATCAATACCTTTACCACTTTATGGTTTTGACACAAAAGATTTTGGGCATTCCGTCCACTTTTAAGGCCTCCACCCTTTCATTTGGCACATACTTTTTTATCAAAACAAGTGACTCATAGCTGGCACTGTGACTAGCCTGGAAAGACATCTCCGGTGAAATGAAAATATAAAAATTGCAAAGATCACTTAGCTTTGGGCATCTTTTGGAATCCACAAACACTACAAAAAGCTAAATAAAAATTCCTTGCTTGCAGAGTTAAATATATAGTATATCTCTTCTATTAGCAATTAAATTCAATGTGTATTGATTTTTTGTACCACTTTCCCTTGTGAAACTGCAGAAACACTGTGTAAGAAGAGATTCAAACACCTGATCAGTTGGGGCCTAATTCAAATGTACAGATGTTGAAATGTGTTCTGACTGGCTTGAACAGGTTTGCTGCAAAAGTAGTTGTGAATTAATAACTATGTGAATGTCAAGGAGCATGGTTTACAATCTCAAGAAGGGCCAGATGTTCCTGATAGTGTTGAGACACCACTCAAGAAAAACACTAGCAGTGTGGCCTATTTTAATCATTCATAAGCAAAAGATGCATGTTCTGTAGGTTATTTAAATAATGTGAATAATTATTCTGTTTAAAAAGTATAGGTAACAGGATATATACATTTCAATGAAAGATAATGCGTGCAGTAAAAAATATATATTTTTAATAATATTGAACTTTAACAGATTTATTTATTCCTGCAAAAATCATATATCTTTTTTGCATTGATTCATTATTGATCTTCAGATGCACCATCAATTGCTGAGACCTGATGACAAGAATTAAGATGCATTCAACCTGACAATGAGAATGCAGATGTGTTCTTGTAAGCGATGGATTGTGTCCTCTGTGTCTCAGGGGAGTCAGAGTAGCAGAGTGTTTTAGTGCTCTCTCTGTGTTAGCTTGTTACTGCATTCAGTCATTTGCATTTCTTCTTTCTTAATCCATCAGAAGGCAGAGCATATATTTTTTTCTGCGCTTTACAGACACTCTGCTTATTATTCTGTTTGTGTCAGGCAGAAGTTCAGATTTTAAAATCCCATTGAGCTGGAGAGAAAACCCGGACTGGGATTGATCTTGTAACAGAAGAGCTGCCCTTCTCTGCGATGTGTGTTTGTGAGGGATAAGAGGTTACGAGTTCACTGTGGAAAAGCAGTAGAACAGCCTGGACAATATTAGAGTGCTGTTTGTATTTGGTGCTGCTTTTAATATACCTAACTTTCATCTAACTCTAACCCATATATAATCATAGTCCCTGTCGCCAGTTGTCTGTGGTCTTTCACACACTCCTGATGTGCCAACCCTGTCCCAACCCAACCAGATGAAAAACAACACGTTTGATGAACCTCTTACCAAGACAGACATTAGTGCCTATGTAAATGAACATCATATTTAAATTAGGTGTTTTCCTGCATATTTGGAAACACCTCTGCTAACTGTGTGTATTTCAGGTTCATGACTCTACGCGGTTAGAAGCCTGTGGTGTTATTTATCCAGAGCTATCCCACTAGCTCACCAGTATGGGAGCTAATATAAATTAATATTCAATTCTTTAGGTTTTTGAACTGAAACTGTGAGATGTGTGCCACACCCTGAGAGACATAGGGGGCATTAGGAAAGATTTGAAAATTATATTTATTACTGTATTTTGTTACTATATGTAATACTATTTTAAATTTCTGAAAAAGTAATTAAAATACAGTGCTGCATTACTTGAAGAGAGGAAATCCAACAGTTACGCCATAGTTTATCTCAGAACAGGCCTAATGCAGTGCACCTTTGTTAATTTTGAGTTAAATACTGTATTTCCCTAATTGTTTTGTTCTTGT